GTGGTCGGCGGAACTTGGCCACGACGTTGCGGGACCATGTCACTGCCTCTCCCTAGTGTTGCTTGGGACGCTCCCATTTTTGGTGTCATTTTGCTGTCGTATCCGGAAAGGGCAAGTGTCAACGCTGGCCGACTAGAGACGAAGCACACGCCATTCCCGAGCCTAACAATGGTGTGGACCGGACCTTACTATACAATAAAATAGAAAATTTAAATACATCGCATTGGTCTATTTGTCTGTATTTTGGACCAATCAGAGCGGAGATGGTTGCACACGAATGCTCGCCGAGGCGGCGCGGGCATCGGAATCGAGTGAAAAGTAAAATCGACGACGCTTTGCCCAGAGATAGAACTCACATTGGGGAGCACGAAAAACTACGTGACGTGCTCGTCAGCGGCATACAGCAGGAAATACGGGTCGTCAAAGTTTTGTTTATGGCATACGCCACAAATAGCCATATTATGCCATATTTAAGGCCGACACTGCGCGACAGCATGTACGCGCCAAGTCCGTGAATAAGAGGACGCCTTGCTCGTTAAAAGCATAAGTATGTATGTATGTGACAGAAAGGGATGAGAATTTTGATTGTGACGCGGTTGCCGAAGTGAGATTTTGACAGTCCATCGTCCGCTTGGTTTATATTCGCATCAACAACAACGCGCTCGACCTGGTCTGTCGCCACATTCTATTCTGAAATATGGCTCCGACAGGCAAGAACGTAGCGGCTCCATCTACATAGTCACAAATGGAGTACACGGTTCGCATGCCAATGCTGCCCATTGACGACCGTCTTCCAGGCAAGATGCCGCCCGATGGTACGATCTGGTCGTCGATTGATGACGCGTGGATGTCGATGGCGATCTGGATGCTCATGGTGTTCCAAAGCACCAAGAACGAGTCGGTGGAGACCATGCGATCTCATTTGCACCGCGCAAAGCACTTGTACGAAAACGCTGTGCTCGACAGTCTCGAGTCGTGCCGCCTACTTGGCCCTCTACTCCAACACGCCGTACATTCTGATGACGACGTCAAGCAAGCCACGTCATCGAGCCTTCTTCTCTGTGCGCTCGACGAGGCTACCTCGTTGACCCGTCTCGACACAGTCCTAAAGCACTTGTTAGCGACTCTCCAGCTGGTACGACCGCTGGAGAAACAACTCTGCTATGCTGGTGCCAGATTGCTTGACGATCAGGAACGCGGCCGTCGACAGCTCTCGATGGCACAGCGTCGGACCACTGCGAAGAATGCCGTGGTAGCTTTGAGCGCGACGGCGGTCATCTCGCGTGTCGAGACGGCGCCCATGGCGGCGACGTGCGGAGTGCTTCTCAGCGCCAGTGTCGGTGCGTCGCACCTCTTGGCCCGATGGCGCCATGCGTCAGTGCGCGAGAAGCTGAACAAGCAGATTGAAAAAACGCGCGCGCTGCTCAAGACGCTACCCCGCCATATCACAGCGCTCGAGGCCGCGCTGGAAGGAGCCATTCACGCCGTGCAAACCGAGATGCGGTTGTTGAGTGACTTGCGCGTCAGCGCCCAGCTCACTAGGCACTGGTTGCTCATCTCGTCCTCCCTCCTGTTTGACATCCAAGCCATGACCCTCGAGCAGCAGTGCCGCCACGTACTCGCACGGTTTGCCAAGGGGGACGACTAAATTGACCGCTTGCATACTGCGTTTGCTTTCTGGTAGCAGTCGTCGACTATAGCTATATATTATCGATCTCAATGGTTATCTAAAAACAACGCGTTGGTCTTGCAACAGGAAGACAGGATGCAGCGAGATCAAAACTCCTCCGGCGCCGAATCCAAGTTGCCTCTGAGCCCAGGATGCAGACAAAAAAGGGTATTTTACGAGAATGCGTGCGCTAATCAAATGTGAGTGATGGTAGATTGCGATCTTGGCCGATGATCATGGGCCTATACTTGCCCTTCTCAATCAGGTATCGTCCGAATAATGAATCAACTCACTTTATCAAGGAAGCAGGCATACACTAAACTACTGTATCTACCACACGCTAGCATTGCACCCGGTGAGATGGATACGCCATCGTTGGATAGCTGTGCTATCCAATGCTGGACCGTTCATGCATGACCACGCTTCCAGGATATCCAATGTGCCAATACGCCTTTGATAAAGGCCCTTCTACTAATATATCCCATAGGTTCTTGTCAATTCCACGTAAAGTTTTGATCCAACGTTGTCACTCGACACACCACTGCGAGCGCCAGGAAGCACTCATTTTGTCATCGGACCTCTCAATTTGTCGCCCCAGGACCATCTTCTGGCAAAGCGCCGCACTATCCGGATACCAGTCAGAAAGGCCATCCGCCACCACGATGGCAGCGGCAGCGGTGCTCCGATCGTCGGATCTGCTTGCGACCATTGTCGGCTACCAAGAAGGCCTGCCGGAAGCGCTCGCCGAGGTCCAGTGGATCGCAGATGCCATCGATCTCACGCCCAGTGTCACCAGCTACCGCACGATACCGACAACGGGGCATCTCTCCACCCTCCCGATGCGGTTTGCAGCGCTGCCGTACCTCCAGCGGTACCCCGCCGCCACGACCAAGCTCTCCAACCATGTGCTCTTTGTGTCGCCGATCAAGGTCGATTCGGCCTTGGCGCTGCACCTCTCGGTCGTCGAAGGCAATATGGCGATCATCGAGCAGTGGCTTCGACACAAGCCAGCGCTCGTCACATCAGGCACGCTCGAGCTCGCGGCGGCGTCGTCCCAAAGCGCGATTCTGCGTCTGCTTCTTGCGCGGTATCCCGAGCTCGTGACGGCCAAGATGATGGACCTTGTGGCGATGTCGGGCGACCTCTCACTCTTGCGTTCACTGCACGAGGCCGGCGCGATCTGCACCACGGACGCGATGGACGGTGCGGCCATGAACGGGCACTTGGACGTCGTCGTCTTTCTACATGAAGCGAGATTCGAAGGCTGCACGATCATTGCGCCCACGGCCGCTGTCGCCAACGGCCACGCACCCATTTTTCGCTATCTCCTCGAACACTGCGTCGGACGGGTGACACCGTCGCTCTTCTACCGTGTGCCACACGTCGAGATCAAGACACACTGCGTTGTTGGCACGTCGCACCTTGAGGCAATCGTTCTCGCCTCGTCCAAGGTTTTCCTTTCCGAGTCAGCGCTACTGCCTGCGGTACGTTCGCTGGCCGCTCTCGAGACGTTGCACGCAATCGGGTACTGGCCTGCAATGACAACCAAGGTGCTCCACGCGGCCATCGCCAGTCGTGACCCGGCCATGATCCGCTTTGTCCTGGACCACACCGCGCTCGAAGCTGCGCCGCCCCAGGACACCATGTCTGCGACGACCGACGCGTGGTTCGTCTTCCCGGCTCTCGACGTGGCCGCAACGACGCACCCGGCACTGCACGACGACGGTGCCACCATGGCCGTCGCCGCCTTCTACGGTGATCTCGACACGATGCAGCGCCTGCACGGAAGCCATTTGGGCCATGTGACGGTCCAGGCGCTCGAGTACGCGGCCTTGAACGGTCATCTGCATGTCGTCCACTGGCTGTCTCGCTTCCGGAACGATGGCGTCACGAGCGATGCACTCGCGTTGGCGTGTGCGCACGGCCATCTCGATGTCACGCGGTATCTTTGCGAGGTGTGCCTCGTGCCAGTGTCACAGACGGCACTGGCCACGGCCGCCCACACGGGCCATCGCCGCCTGGTCCGGTACCTCCTCTTGGGCAATGACCAAGAGGATGATGCAGACGATGCTACGTACGACACGAACGAATGCATCTACGACCATCTGCTGGGCTGTTTCCGGAGCACTTACGTTCGAACGCGTCCGGTCGATGCCGCTGCGAGCCAAGGCCATCTGGCGATCCTGGAGCTGCTCGTTGACCATGGTGCTGACGTGACGACGACGACGATGGACGCGGCGGTCACGCATGGGCATGCCGATATTGTGCGCTACCTCGTCGCGGAGCACGGTCAAGGCTGCACGGTGCACCACCTCTGCACGGCGTTGCAAGCTCGCCGCGTGGATCTTGCATCGTATATGCTGTCGCACATGCAGATTGAAGCCGACGGCGACGACCTTCAGCGGCTTTTTGTGTGCACCGCGAGGGGCGGAAGTGTCGCGTTCCTCCGTCAGCTGCGCACCGTCGTTTCCGCCGTCGCTCGGCCGCGAACGCAGGAGCTCATGCTGGTGCACGCCGTGCTGCAAAGGCACATGCACATGCTGATGCACTTGTGCGAAGCCCACGGCTTCAAATGGACGCCAAACGTCCATGACGTTGCTACGCTGCTCGGTCGGAAGAAGGTGCTCAAGTACTTGGAGACGTTGGGGCAGGCCGCCGCCGAGTCGGTGGTCACCTTTGGGCCGGTCGTCGGCATCACCGGGTACGAAACAACAGTCATATAAGCAAGACCACATTGTCTCTGGCGCAGCAGACTGGCAGTGAGTTGGTTTGTTGGCATGAATGTATCAATGTATCAAAATATCCATGCTATCGGTGTGAACGGCGCCGTCTTGTGACACTTGCGCAGTAGCAAGCACCGATCCACGACGACGTCAAGCGTAGGGTGAAGCCTGCGGGCCACTGCATTGCTGTAGCCGTCCGCCCGTGCCGGTCTCTGGGTCTGGTACTAGTACGCGCGAGACGAACCGAGCACACAAGGCGACGCCAATCTTGAAGGTTTCTACCAGTCTATATCGTCGACTGCGGTGGTAGCATGTTTCGCGCTATCAGGTTTGCGACCCTTGTTCTCTCAGGGTCCAATGTCGGCATTCAGGTTACACTGCGACCTTGAGGTCGGAGTCTGGCACGCAGGGTCGGATCGCCATTTACTCGAGTTGTGGCCCGTGCTCTTCCCTTGACGTGCATATTCCCTGCGTATACGTAGGCATGGAGCTTGTTTCGAAGGCGTTTGTTCTGCATCTGCAACGCGATCTGCCTCGCACCCGTAGTTTATGTATATGGAATGCGTGTCTCGGGGCTTGGCCAGCTCGAGATGCTACGGTATCTAACACAGACAAATGGCTTGGAATGGGTGTTGCCCGTTGAGAGCGCACCGAGGGACGAAGGCACACGCTTTTGTTCGTGGCCGTGTGCAGCGAGAGCTTTTTTGTGTAGCCCGACATTCCGACGTCGTGTCGTTGACAACGGATAAGGACGCGGCGGTGACGTTCCGACGTGGGCACAGCGATCGATCGCGTGTGCTGTCTTTGCCACCCTCTACACACTCGCCGCCTCTCAAAGTACACTCGCCGCCTCTCAAAGTGCACTCGCCGCCTCTCAAAGTGCACAAGGCTGACTGTCCATCTCGGCCACCGTCTGCAACACAGCCAGACGACACGCGTCGTCGACCTGGTGGCAATAGGTGGGATCGCCTCCACACATGCAAGCGCTACCGAGTACAATCCATCCAGACTCTCTTTTAGTGTTGTGGGATTTAACGGTCGCGCGCCTTGGCAATGTCAAGGGCCTTCATTTCCGAGAGGTACGACGGGTTCACGCCGGCTTCTTCGAGCTCGGCGACCTCTTCGATGCGGATGCGCTCGAGCTTCGCGAGCTCGTCGGCGTATTCTTGTTTGAGCGCCTTGCCTTCAAGCTGCACACGGACAAACTTGTCTTTCACGAGCTTTTGCTTGTCTTCGATTTGCTTTTGGAGCGCAATGCGGTGGCTCGAGCGCTTGGTCGCGTCGGCGGCCTCCTTGTCTTGGAATTGCTTCTTCTGCCAGTCGACTTGAGTGATGATGTTTTCGTATTCTTGTTTTTGCTGGAGGGCTTCTTGGACCTTGGAGCGCTGGCGGTGCATGGCCTGGGCTTCGCGCGAAATCCGGAGCTCCTCCGCTTCCTTGCGGGCCTTGATCTCACGGGCTACGTCGGCGTCCCGCGCCGCCCGCTCGCGCGCCTCGCCG